GTCTGAAGCGTGTTTTGGCGCTTTTCAGAAGCTTCAAGATCTGCCTTCCCTTGATGCCCTGAGGAGGAACCATATTTTGAGCGGCCTCCGTAAGGCGATTCATCTTATCCCTAACGGCCCTCGTCTTGATACACTCCCTGATAGCACTCGTGAAGTTGGAATCCAACACCGGGTACTTACAAGGTCCACCTAGAGCATCATAGTCCAGCCTCTCAGTCTCTGAAATCCACGCTAACGCGTAATCAGAGTCAAAGCTGAAAGCATTCCTGACCCTCTCCTTCACCTTGGAGATCCATTCCCGAAGCTTATCAGCTGTTGGCTCAGCAGGCAATACGATCGTGTTGCATTTATGATGGTACCGATCCTTGCTATCAACAACGGTTGAAATCAGTGCCCCTACCGGGGACAGCACACCTCGCATGCTCTCATTCCACAACCAACGCACGGAACAAGAGGGAAACCGAACTCAGGGATTCTGCTACATTTAGTGCACGACCGTCATCTCCCCTCAAGGCTTCGGGTAGAAGACCGCCATCCCCTTGCCTACCGGCGCCGTGGATGCTGTATCCAAGGCTAAGACCTGGCCCAAGATTACTGCCACTGCCGATACTAGATGGGTAACCTGCAGCGACGTTGGCTTGGCTAATGCCAGCACCAACGCCTTGGTGGTTAACACCACCTCCGTAGGCAGGACCATAGAAGCTGGAACCGCACTGATTGCTTCCAACTCTGAGGGAATCTACAGCAGTACCAATAAACGTCGGCGCTCCTCCCCCTCTCCTCCCCCTCCAGAGTATCCCCCGAGAGGCGCCCCTCCGCCACCAGGCGCTCCACAAATTCCTTGTCCTCCACCAGAAGGGCCAGGCCCGGGGAGGACGCGGGAAACATCCGCCTCCATCGTGACCCGATGGTCCCTCGGCGGCGCTCCGCGGCCAGCGCGCTCATGACTCGCGTGGCACCGCGAGCATCGCTCGAGACAATCGTGCCCAAGAAACGTATGCTCGTTGCAGATGTACTTCTCACAGTCAGAACAGGAATACGTGGATATCTCCTGAGCATTCTTGCGACAGGCCCAGCACTTCGTTTTCCAGAGCTGCCAATTCCAACAGTCCCCATCGTCACCCTTACACAGTTGGCAGAATTCACGTTCACACGTAGCACAAAGCTTCTTATAAAGCTTCCTTATAAAGCTTCTTATGAAGCTTCTTGTAAAGCTTCTTTTCAAGCTTCTTATAAAGCTTCTTATAAAGCTTCTTATAAAGCTTCTAATAAAGCTTCTTATAAAGCTTCTTTATGAAGCTTCTTGTAAAGCTTCTTTTCAAGCTTCTTATAAAGCTTCTTTTCAAGCTTCTTTTTCCGCTTCTTATAAAGCTTCCTATAAAGCTTCTTGCTTCTTATAAAGCTTCTTACAAAGCTTCTTTTAAAGCTTCTTGTAAAGCTTCTTATAAAGCTTCTTATAAAGGTTCTTTATAAAGCTCCTTTTCAAAGCTTCTTGTAAAGCTTCTTATAAAGCTTCTTTAGAAAGCTTCTTTTCAAACTTCTTATAAAGCTTCTTGCTTCTTATAAAGCTTCTTTATAAGGAAATTTAAAACTTAGACTTTCGAGGTTTTAAGGTCCAAAACTTAGATTTTCGAAACCTCAAAACTTGGTTTTCAAGGTTTTGATGGTCCAAGGAACAGGAGTCCAAGGGCTGCCGATAGGGAGCCTGAGGTCAGGAGTCGGGAGTCGAGAAACGAGAGACCTATCCGCGATAGCGGTAGTGCCCCTCGAAATCCCAATCGCCAACAAAGGGATTCCCTAGGCAACAGGGCTCGAGGTGACGTTCCGAGTCCTGGCGATAGCCAAAGGAACCCAGCTACGGGCATTGCGCCAGGTGGGGATGGACCTGATCTCTCAAGAGTATGTGCTCAAGACAACCCAAATGATCGAAGACACCCAAATGCGAGCCTGGCATGCGCCCGTGGATTGTCCCTCATACGCCTTGGCGGAGAGTAAGACCTATCCTGCATCTGCAGAGCCCTTCTGCTTCGGCTATCCTCCCTCTCCCTAACGAAGAGATAGGACGTCTGTTGACATGAGGATCAGCCTCAGCCCTACTGAGCACGCTCGGCAAGCTCGAACCCCTGTTGACCTGGGGTTGATCGCCCACATTTGCTAACGCCCCCACCCGGTCGGGCCGGTGGGACAGGATTCTGAGCATTTCTATCTCCAGGGTCAGGCGTCGGAGACCTAATCCTGTGTCCTTGTCCAGCGAAAGCGTCCCTAACGGATTCCCGGACTTCGTTGGAGAGTGAGTTGATCCTCTGATCCACAACCTCGCTCTGCTCATCGATAGCATGTCTAACGACTGCTCTGCTATCAGGAATGATCTCACCGGCAAACCGTTGAACTATCAGTCGCATCCGATCAGCATCCGCCTGGGTTGCAATCTCGGTAGCCAAGCGACTAACCTTGTCCTTCATCTGCTGATTCTCATCATGCCATTCCCTGCGCATGGAACTCACCTGACCGTTCAGTAACCTGATCTGATTAGCAAAAGCATTGAGAGTATTCACAACAGAGCTAGAGGCCTTGCCTCTCTCGAACATCTCCTGGATGTGCAAATCAAATACTTCCTTAATTCTAGTATCACCGGATTCCCCAGAAGAACGAGATCTGAGGGCCGGAGGGGTCGATATCTCGATCCTCTCAGGAACCCTTTCAACTCTGGCGCGCTCTCTGTGGTCGGAAGCAGTGATCCTGAGCAGCCTATTCGGACTGGCGCCCCTCCCCCGCCTATCGCCGGATCTGGGATTAACATTCGAACCACGAGATTCAGGTGTGGAGTGAATATGAACATCAGCAGGATCAAGCATGTCCTCGTCCTGCGGCGCTGAACCTATCGGTTCAGGGCTAGCCTTCCTCGCCTTTGACCCATCGGTCCATCCGGCTAAAGGTGACGGCCTCTTTGCAGAAGCACTGCGTTCCCTGCTGGCTGATCCCCATTGGGGAGTGAATTCATTGCTTGACCTTAGTGGCTCGAGGTCGCTGAGATCTCGCCCTAACGGGCTTGCGATCGACGGACGATCCTCGATCTCCAATGCACTCGCAAGTCTTCCGTCCCTTGCACCTGCTTCAACCACGTTGGCGGCCCGCTCAGTAATTCTGGACGAACCAGTATTCCGGTTCGCGCCCTCAACTCTTTGACGCCAAACGTGATATTGGGAAAAGGGGGAACATTCGGGATGGGCTCAATCACGGGAGGACCTATCGGCCCTCTTCCATCATGGATGGCCTCCAATCCCCTAAGGGTGCCCCGACTCTCCTGGATCCGTTCTCTCTCACTCCGGGTGTCCCTGTCCTCATGAATGTCCCTCGCAGCTCCACGAGTGAGGCTCCTGGCCCTTGCAGCTTCACGGCTCCTTGCACTTTGGTACGACAAACTCTCTTCCACGAGCATCCGCGAACGCGGCATAATCTTCATCATTATCGAACTCAAATGGAGTCGCCGAAACCGGGTTGGGCCTATCAGTATCAGACTCATGCTTCACGCCACCGCCCCATCCTGCGGTCGACGATACCAGGGCATCGTATCCGATGCCCGCAAACGCCCTCTCCTCGCGCTCATCAAACCGACCTGGATTTTGAGAACCGGTTGATCGAGTCGAGATATCTCTCGGAGCCAAAACCATGGTTCCCGGTCCTCGCGGCCTGTCCTCGAACTCATCCGAGGCCTGTGATTCACCTGGAACAAGAGGCCTTGGAGGTCGAGTAGGCATGGCCTCCAGGTCGTCTGTATGAGGGCGGGCCATGTTCATCGCCATACTGATGAAGTCCAAATGTCCTGGTCCGAAACCTGAATCGGAGCCGCTCCTATCGGGGCGAGCTCCCATCGGTGGCCTGACGGAAAATGCGGTCGTCTCCATTGTCAGTGTACCTGCCACGGCTTCGGGGTGTGTCCCTACCGGGATCATCACCCCTGCGATCCTGACCTGCTGAACCTGGCTCAAATTCCTCGTAGTCGTAGTCCGGCAAGTCCTCACCTGATCGGAGACCACCTAGAATAGCCTCCTCATCCACGACACTCCTATGAGAGCGTGGGGTCGACGTCATTGAGCTTGTAGTTGATGGTCTCAAGCGCGTAGGAAAGTCCTACGGCTGATAACCTGTGATTCGGGCACGAACCTGTGCCCAGGCAATGGGTTAGTTGGGGTAAACAAGCCACAAACAAAGGTTCCCCAAAAGCAAACCAATCCCCGGTCCCAAAGATCAGGGTTTCCCACACACCAGAGAACAACAACCAAAAGGGAAAAACCAAAACAAGTAAACAAGTACCCGCAACCTTGATCGACGATGAACCGCACGGGCGGACCCCACCAATCTGCCCCGGGCCGATGTCTCTTTCTCCACCGACACGAAGGTGATCGACGCGGGGACCCGGCGACGCTCATCCGAGGCGCGACGGACCCGCAAACTTGAGCCAAACACCACAGGCGACATTGGTGATGAAATAAACCATGGCTAATCACACATATAAAGAACACTTGCCGGAGAGAAACTGGTGATGCTGAGGAAAACCAACTGGGAATACAGCGGATGCGAAAAACCAAAGCCAAAAAGCCACCAAAAGCTGCTTAAACCAACAAGAAGCCGAAAGCCAAGAAGCCGAGAAGCCAACAAGCCAAGAAGCCAAGAAAGAAGCCGAGAAGCCAAAAAACTAAGAAGCCAAGAAGCCCAGAAGCTGAAAAGCCAAGAAGCCAAAAGCGGAAGAACATCCTAAAAACAAGATCCTTCCTTGCAGTTGTCCCTCTACTCGCCGGTTCCCATCCCGCGCGCGTGGCGGCAGTGCAGGAGGCGGGCGCAGAACATGAGCCAACAAAAGGCACCAGAACAAAATCAACAACAAAGCGTGCAAAACAGTTTAAAACACAAAACAATCAACACAATCAAAAAAAGCAGTGTGTCAGCCTGAGCTGTTCGCTTGATCACTATCGTCTTGACATCCTCAGAGCTCTATTTTTGCTTGGCGCAAACGGATGTGAAGCATACAACTTGGTCCAGCTTCTATGAAACTTCAAAAGCGTCCAGGCCATCCAAGGCACAGAATGGGCTTCTGCGTGGTGCCGAATTAAGAATCACTTGGCTTATCATAGCAACATCCAGGCAGCTAGCGACACCAGGGACAAGATGTCCCTTGCAGCTCCACTCGTAGAAACCACATTCGTTGTTGTTGGGCAAATGTCACTGATGTCCACGGAACTGCCGCTGGGGGTGAATGTGTCAACTGACTTGCAGTTTGCATAGGAGTAGTAGAGCGTCGACCCTGGAAAGTACTGGCTCGCCGCGATGTCCGTCGCTGAGCTGCATGTGCAAGGGTCGATATAACACCAAGGCCTGTCACACCAAGCTGCGCGGCATCCAACCGTCCATCCCGGCTCACACTGGTCAGCCCACATCATGCCTGTGTCCTGATCAAAACAGCTCGAGCTGAACAGCTCTGCATGAATTCCGCAGCTTCCACCGTAGTTGGCAGTCAGCATGCCGCTGCTGGCATTGGCGCACTTGCCGCTTCCCTGAGCACAAGAGGCATCCGTAGAAGCGATGAGGTACATGTCGGACAAGGGCATGCAAGAGCAGCCTTCCTCCAGTGCGCTTGTGAAGGGCCAGTTCATTGGGCTGATTGGGGGCGGGGGAGGGCTAGGACAGCCCACACTGCCAGTGATGTTCACATTCGACGGGCTTGTGGTGTACGTGTCTGTGGATCCACAAACGCTGTAGCTGTAATAGAGCTCCAGGTTGAAGTACGTGGTCAAAGCAATGTCACTAGCAGTGCATGTGCATGGGTTTACATACGACCAGGGCTTTGTGCACCAATCTGCACTCTCATTGCGCGCCAGGGCGTTGCCGCTTGAGTCCGAACAAGAAGATGAGCCTGGCTCAAGATGTACGCCACATCCTTCGCCATAAGTTGCCGGGTATTCAAGTGCCGTGCCGCTTGGGGAGGCCATGACGCATTTGCCCTCCTTGGCAAAAGCTTTAGTGCAAGCGACCTTTTCCTGGCCGTGTGACATCTTCACCAGGCATGTCGCTGCGTCCACAGGCGTGTAGTTCATCGCGCAGTTCGCCACGACGTTCTGGTGGCTACTGCTGGTGAACGTGTCCACTCCTCCACAGTTCGAATAGGAATAGTAAAGCCCGGAACCGGGAAAGTAAGACGACATCGCGAGGTCTGCCACTGGACAAGTGCAAGGATCTACGTAGCACCTTGTACGCTTTGCTGAAACTGCAATGCAAATGACTAGAACCAAATGCGGTTGCCCCTTGCTCATATGGGCATGCCTGCGCAACCAAGTTTAGGCAAGGCACCATGGGTCGTTGCACCAGCCTGCCTGGTCAGCCGTAGGGAGTTCCATATCGTTGGTCAGGTTCCAGCAAGATGACGAACCAGGCTCTGCCTGCTTTCCGCAGTAGTTGCCATAGGTTGCGGGGTAATCCACTGTGCTCCCTGACACAGTGGCCTCAACCTTGCTCATACCGTTGACCATCTTCGCCACCTGACCATGAGACAGACAGGTGCAGCCAGGAGATGCCACGCTTGTTGCCCAAGCAAGAGGAGTAGAAAGGAGGATCGAGAGCAAGGTCTTTGCCATGGCTCCCACACTCCAATCGAGCTGGCACTGAATCCTGGGGCCTGTGACAGCAGGCGCTTTGCATGAAGAGAGCAGAATCCACTGCATCGACTCTGCATCATCAGGAACTCAAAAGAAAAACAAGTTGGAGACACCCCAAAACAACCTTGACACAGCTATTCAGTGAACCCGCAAGGCTGGGAATCTGGTTGGCATCAGTGCCCCTGTCCCTCGGTGCAATTTCGACATTGCACTGCTATATAGTTTGCATCCATACGGCCCAAACTCCAAAAGTGCGACTGTCACAGCCAGGGCTTTTTCGATTTCAAAGACATTAAGCTATGCATTTTCTCGCAAATTCCCTTTCGAAATTTGCAACGTAGCCGCTCGCGGCTATTGTGAAACGAGAGGCTGCCACTACTCACTTTCCAGCCCCTCTTCGGTATCTGGGCCTCTCGGATGATGCTGAAAGCCTTGGAGTCATGGATTTCACAAAGGGAACCGAGGCAATTCCAAGGCAAAACCAAGGCACCCTTGTGGAACTTCCCCACATTGCAGCAGTGCTGAATGACGTGCAAGCTGCAAAGAGTCCAGAACACCGGGATGGCGTTGCCGCACAAATAGGTGCTTCCCTCTCTCTGTATCCGAACCACCTCAAAGATGCCGTAGATGCCCAGGCCAAACTGAAAAACCATCACCAAACCTGGGTGGCAATTGCCCTTTGCGTCAAGGCTTGCTGGTTTGCCGAAAAAGTGAAAGGTTCAGCCGAGAAACATTGCAACACCAAGACCGCCGTCATTCCTCCCCCGTAGTGGAGAGCGCTCTCCTGGAACTCCGAGCGATGCGCAGCGGCGGAGGCCGAGTGCTGGCCGCCTGAAATGGAATACACCTGAGCAGTCTGCATCTCTTGATGGGCTGTCAGTGCCAATTAGGTGAGCCCTTCAACTCGCAACATGCTCCTTAAGAATTGGTTTGGGGCTTTGCAATGATCAGAACTAAGTGGAGATGTGATGCGGGATTTTGGGTTGGTTCAGGCGTTCCTTTAGTATTGTTTTTGCCACCCCCAGCATCGTTTCTTTTAAGACCCCGGTGCCTCGGGTTGGTCTCGGGTGGGTTTAGGACCGGTTTAGTGGTCGGATTACGGCAGGTTTTGGAGCCCTAAGGCCACGCTGAAGAAACAATTCAAGTCCATAAAAAGCTAAATTCACCCCCAAACAAACGCGACACCATATACCGCCATATACAAACCCAAAACCATGAACACGTCCTCAAGCAACCTGAAACAAGCCCCAAACAAGGGAGCACGACGCTGTGGGAGTGCGTTTTTTGTACATTTGAAGCTTTCTGAAGTATTGTTCACGTAGACTTACAGATTCTAAGAAGAGAGCGGGACGCAGTGAGCGTGTGTTTTTCTCCCGTGCTTGCGGAGGATGGGGCTGGAGTCCCAACGAAGACTAACATGATGAGCATCACCTGCATCATCCGCTTCTGGCAGGTGCGTTCTCGATTTCAACACAATTCATTCAATGTTGGGATCTCTGACTTCTACTTAATGTTTATCAAGCTACAAGTAATTTCTACCTCAAAAAATGGACATAATTTAGAAAGGAGAACTTGTTAAATGATTATTTGATTTCAACTTTAATGCTTCACTGGGTTGCTTTTCCAATGGAATTGTCTTAAAAACACTAACCGTTTAAACACAACTTATTCAACAAATTTGGGACCTGTGAGTTCTTACCTTAGGCATTCTACTTAATGTATTTATCAACTTCTACGCAAGTTCAAACCAAACCATCTCTAGCTTTCTGTGCTAGGGCTTGGATGTACGCACGTCCACCAAACCAGGAAGGGGGGGGGTTGTGGTCTACGAGAAATCCAAAAACCAAACAACTAAAAGAGATTGCAGACCCCAAGGTAGGAGGACAGTGGCGGGGGGTGGGGTCAATCTTGGCTTTGTGCTGTGTTTCTGCCTTTCTGTTTTGTTCCTATTTTGTTGCTTTGCTTTTGCTTTGTGCTTTTGCATTTCTCAAGGTGTTCCCTTGTCTTTTTTGAAATGATCTTGCTTAGGCATGTGCAAAGCAAATGTAGTCCTTGGCAGAGGAAAATCATCCAAATGTGATTGGAACAAGTTGAAAAAACAAACACGCGCGCCCAGCGCGTCCTGTTTTGACAACCCCTATACCAACCCTAAACCCATCCCAATATCCTACACTGCCAACTGCACCACTGCACAAGTCAATTTCTAGGACCTAACACAGTTTCTATTATTCTCGTTTTGTTGTACCCCTTGTCTGCACACCGCCAAAATAGCAACAAAGAATTGCTTCTGGAACCCGGTCAACCGAGCCCAGCTCATAGGAGCTCTCCGTGTTTGTTTAAACTAAATTCAGAGGTGTCGCTAGGCTTGGCTTTGGATACAGGTCCTGTCGCTTTCAGCGCTGCAAGTGTGCACAAATCACAAACCCAGCTTTTGACCAGAAAACTTGGAACTCCAAACCCACGAGCCCTAACCATCCCTTGACGCCCGGCCCCACACACTCTGCCACCTCTGCCACGCCTGTGCATGGTCCTCCATGCTCTGTGCCAGCGTTTGGTGGCTCACTGACAGCATCATGCCCTGCATGAGGTATAGTCCGATTGCCAGCAGCACAGCCAGGGCGAAGTTGGAGATTCCAGACAGCCAGAAGACCGTGGACAGCCCGGACGGGCATTGCCGCGGCACTTCGTTGGAGTACCACGTGTAGGAAAACCCGATCGCCAGCATCATGAAGATCAAGATGAGGCCAATGGCCAGCACGCACATGGACTGCTTGTGGGACTCGCTGACGGCCTTCTGCGTCTTCCCCGGATTCACCGGGACGTAGCCGTACCCGCCGTACCCGCCGTACGCCATGGCCCGAAAGCTCCCGGCCCAGCCCCCCAGCCCCCGCCCCGGGCCTCGGGCGTCTGCGACACCGGAACATCGGAACATCGTCATGTTGTGTTTTACGCACGGAAAAAAGAGACTCTAAAGCAAGACTGCAAGACTGCAGCGGTCTACAGCGCAAGTGCAAGAGTGCGCGCGTCACATCGCTCGGTTTTTAAAAGGCATGCTTTGAGTGTGATACACTCGGTCGCGATTGTGAGACTTCAATTCTGGCTACCTGCCCAGCTCACCATTCAGGCCTGGCATAGCGCGGCATGCCCGAAGCCCATCGCCCAGTGGAAAAAAGACAAGGCAAGGTGTGCTCGTCTTCGAGCTTCCGAGCTCTTGGTACCTGAGCTTGGCCGAATCTTGGCACTCGATGCACTCGACGTGTGAGGCCCGGACAGGGCGAGGTGGCGTGGGAGGTCTCTGCTGCATCACCATCGGGTCCCACATGGTCGTCATTCGCTCAACAGGGTAGATCAGCCTGATGCTTCCCACGCGCCCGCTGGTCGAACATGCACAGACTGGGGCCGCCGACTTGGGCACGATTGTCAGATCGCGGCGCACAAAAAGCAGCGCGCCCGCGTTCTTGTGGTGCCCGCAATAGTCCTGTGCGTTCAGAACTGCAAATGCATCTAATGCCCAAATGCACATCTCTCTCATAAGCACTCCGTAGCGCTGAAGACTGTAATGAGACGGCCATTGGCAAAGCGCTCGAAGCCATCCTGGGTGCACTTGCAGCAGTGGCACTGATTCTCGGTTGCACATGTTCGGCGGACTGTTTGCTTCTCAGAACAGGGCCATAACACATTCATGTGCGCGGATGATCATCGACAAGGGCTTGTTTTTCTCCAAAAACTCCTCGCCGCTTTGCAACAATGGCAATGCCTTCATCCACTCAATCCGCAACGCGGATTGCAGAGTCTGCAACCTGCTGTGCCCTCTTGTAAGCTCAACGCCGCACCTCCACCCTGTCTGGACCAAACTTCACAATGCGACCCGTGCCATCTGGATCGCGCGTCTCATTGGGCGTGACTCCCGGCACCTGCCGTGAGTCTGCGCGAGTGAGACTGGGCCCAAACTGCCGGCGCGACAGAATCGTTGTCTGAAGGATCGCTCCACCTTGGCCCCCGACCCCACCCTCCAAGTCCTGTGAAGCCCTGTCAAGCCCTGTCAAGTCCAAGGATGTTGTGAGTCTAAGGATGTCTAAGGGCGCGACAACAAGTCCGTGATGCGCTGCTCGAAGGGCGTCTGCGGAATTTGGGCCACGTGCAGCGGCCTGAACGAAGCTTCGTGCGGCGTCGAACTGCATCCGACTCTCGCCTCTGCATTGTGCGAACTTCCGCTATGGAATTCACTGAGCCTCCAATACCTTCATGCCAAGTGGGATTACAAAAGACAATGAAAGGTCAAAGTTGAGAAATATGTCATTTGACAACAGATTCGGCGCACCTCCGTGCAGGCAGAGGATTCTGTCCTCGATCACTGCTCCGACTGGAAGCCATTCGAAGGCCTGCTTGCAGCAAGGCACGTCCAACTCTCTTAAAGTGATATGGTCAACTTGCAACAGCGCGCCCTGTTGAACTTGTTCCAGCACGACTCAGGATCTTCAGGCTCCTCCAAACACGTCAATGATGCTGACGCTGGCGCTGGCACTCACATTATGCAGCATGTGCGCAGTATGCCTCATTCAAGCGCCGTCTGCACTCATCACGGAATCCATAGATGGCATTGATAGTGGGATCCTGGCAGCTTCCATGGCAAGAGAACCAACTCGTCTCTTGCCGTGCCTCGTGGTTCCCGCGGATCAAGTGAATTTGATTGGGATACTTCACCTGCATCGAGCGAGCCGCTTCGCCCGTGAGCCCGTGATGTGCCCTACGTCTCCTTTTTCGGCCTTCAGCGAGAACAGAAGACAAACCGTCTCCAGCGAGAATGCTCCGCGGTCCTTAGAAAGTTGCGGTCCGCAACCAAACGCAACACGTTAATTGCACCTTCGGTATTTTGGTTTTTGAAGCTGTGCCTTTGCCCGACCAGGCCCTGTACCACAAAGTCACCCAGAAACAGGTAGTCCATGGAGTCCTTGGCTCGAACGGAATTCGTGAAAACACCCTGCGAACTCGGAGCAAGTGGCGATGTCGCCATGCTCTCCGTCCGATGGCGCCTTGTACCTGATGACGAGTCTACGCCCCATGGCATAACGAAGGCACGCGGCGCCTTGCAAAGAGACGCATCAAATCAAGGAACTGGCCGTGAATGTCGCCATATACCTGGGCCGCTCGGCCAATTCGTTTCGGATGTTGCCAGTTCTGCGGGCCTTGATTGGTGCTCTAAGCCTCAAGATCATCTCCTGGGACTTCAGCACCTCGCACCCGTGCAATCCGAATGTTTCCGTGACGATTTCACGGACCTCCAGGGTCAAGTCGCACAATCGGCTGACCTGCGAAACGTTCCCAATCTCCGCGTTGCATTCGCTCCGACCGCGGCCGGAGGCCTCCGCCGAGTTCAGGAAGAAGCCGTTCGGATTGGCATCTGGCTGCCATGTTGTCGGCCTACAGCGCATTCGAGCGAGCCAGGCGAAAACAAAATGAGGTGCCGGCTGTAGTAGCGCATTGATGCATTGGTTGTGCACACCTTCTTCCCCCTGGCAGGATGAATGCCCTTTAAAACTCGGATGTAAACGTACATGGATCCGGGACGTATGGGCTAACTCTCCACATGCCAGAGGGTGCAACATTTCTGGCGATGTTCGCCATCACGTTGGTGGAGTGAATTTTCCGACCTGTAGATTTCTCACTCCGACAGCTCTCTGCGCAAGTCACAATTCTGTTGTCTGGGCCGTGCACCCTCCTCCACAAGGCTCTCTATTGCAACCTGCAAAGCAATGGGCTTCCTCTGATGACTGTCATGGCTGTGGATGGCCTTCTCAACCAAGTGTGTGAAATCCTTCTCGTGGCTGACGTACACCTGAACCGCTGGCATATTGAATGAGTGATTGCGATTTCAGACTCGGAGCCTGCGGTGACACTTTGACGTCGCCAGGCGTGAGGTCCACCTGAGCCACGTGTCCAACTCAGAGGCTCAGAGGCTCAGAGGCTCAGAGAGGCTCTCAGGCAGCCACGGTCCGGGCTGCAGGCGCAGGCGCCAGCGCTCCTATCGTTCGGTTCAGGCGCACATTTGCCATGAGGCACCATGAGGCACCATGAGGCACTATGAGGCACTTGCTACTTCGAGGCGGTGTGGCCGGTCGCTGTCCATCTGCCTTCGCTCTCTCACTCCGAAGCTCCGAACTGTGCAACAGCTCCGATTGTCCAGGCCATGCGGAAATGCATGGCGCATTCTCAAGTCACGAAGCCTAGACTACCAAAAACTGTACAAACGGTCACATTGGCTTCAAGCTACATCCAAGGCCTGCTTGTGAACAACATGCAGTACAGCCATCCTGGTGTTTTCGTTGCTCTTCCTTGTTGTGTTGTCGTTTTGGCAGATCCACATCAGAGAAACCGTACTCAAAGTCACAAGCGCAGTCGCTTGCTCATCGGCTAAGAAAAAGCTAAAACTGAAACTGGCGCAACGTGCACTTCCGCATCTGCTCAAACGCCGCAAACCTTCTCAATACAAGAGTGTGCAAAGCATACATCCACTCCATCTTGAGAATCGCAGCTTCAGTTCTGCGGAGCGTTTTATGACGTTACACGGCCAAACTTTGGCTGGGAAGATCAATGCCTCGACTCTAAGCGCCGAACGGGCCGGCTGGGAGCTGCTCGCGAAGCTCCTCGAAGCGAGGCGAGGCGATTCTTTTCGAGTCCGATCCGAGGGTCCCGTCCCCGGTCTCCCCGATCTCCCCGGTCTCCCCGGTCTCCCCGGTCTCCCCGGTCTCCCCGGTCTCCCCGGTCTCCCCGGTCTCCCCGGTCTCCCCGGTCTCCCCGGTCTCCCCGGTCTCCCCGGTCTCCCCGGTCTCCCCGGTCTCCCCGGTCTCCCCGGTCTCCCCGGTCCCCGTCCTGAGTATGTGGCCATGTCCAGGGTGCTTCCCGGGGGGCCCGCCTCACTTGGATTCCATGCCATGGTGCCCTCCTTTCGCTGACAGACCTCTGCTGAAGCACCCAAGGTGTCTGCGGGGCTGTCAGCCTCATGCTTGAAACGCGACAGGAAGACGCGCGTCGACGCATTTGGTTCGAAGGCTCAGGCGTCGCCATCTTCAAGCGCAACTCCCGTGAGTGATGCAGCAATCGCCCTTTCAATATCCATAGCCTCAAAGATGCAGCGGACAAGTTGCCATTGTCATGTTTCCAGGTGCCTGAAGATCGGCGGTCGGTGATGACCTTGGTCTCTGCCGTGGCTATCAGCGTTCAGCTCAAGTCCAAAGAGCCAAACGGGTTCTTGTGGTCAAAGCCACCGTACGAAAACAGCAGGCCACCCATACCTCTCTCTCTCTCTCTCTTTCCCTTCAGCCATGCTTGCCATGTTTTGGCTGTTGCAAATGCTGCATTACAACCTCCAAGCATCCGGGGCACCCCAAGAAGAGTGGCGAAACCTCTGAACGCTGCAGACATTGTGCCACTCACATGTCTCAGTGTCGTAGACGGCCGTTGGCAAAGGCCTTATCAATCAACTCCCACAACGGTCTCAGAAAGTGGCATCTGGCCATGAATAATGGCTCCCTAAAAGCCTCTTGGATTGATGCATATGCCTCAAGTTGCAAGTTACATCGAGCACATGCGGCTGGGAGGGTGACTTGTTGACTTCTGGACCACGGCCGCCAATGATCAGCAGCTTGGAGTCCACAAAAATGCAGGAGTGTTGGAACCTCAGGCGCAGCCGGCGCAACCCAACTTCCCTTGCGGCCAATCCGTCCTGGGTTCCGGAGGCGGCCCACGCTTAGCGGGAGCCTGGCTTGGAGCGAGCCGCGTACCACTTAGCTCCTTGCCAAAAAAAACTGGGCATTGTGGGTCTTAACGTGCGAGCTGAGGGCGGCCATGTCAGAGAAACGACAAGTGTCCCCACGAACATCCACTTTGTGCCCAGGCCACAAGCGAATGCAACTAGTCTCAGTGACCACCGTGGGTGCAATTTGATCCTGTTGTTGCGCTACACCCTGTTGCCACTTGTCTCCCAATCTTCAGCAGTTGAACCGTGGTTGTATAGGATTGGTGAATAGTGGGTGTTATCAAACAGTGTCCTGTTTTTTCACCTCACTGCCACAGCACTTGCTTTGTCGCAGGCTTTACAGGCACGTCAGCCCTCAGCTCCGTGTGCGTTTCTGTGAGACATGCGGCCGCGGGTGGCACCTCCACCCAGTCCCAGCGGCCGTCGCGGTGCTGTCGGAGTCCCCAGGTGTCCTCTGCGGCTTCGGTTTACTTTCGAAGCAGAAGGATTTGAGCGTGGCGTACCAGCAGAGCCGGCGAAGCTGTTGGGCGGAAGTTTTAAAAACATAAAAACTATAGTTATGGTTCCCTTTCTTTTCTTGAGTCTTTTTCGCGTCTTCCTTTTCACTGTTTCCTTTTTTCTCCGTGCTTCTTTCTTCCTTTCTTTCTTTCCTTCTTGGCTCCCTTCTTCCATCTTTCTTTGGTTTTAATTGTCTTTCCCTCTTTCACTCTTTCTTTGGCTTGTTTTGCTCGCTGTTCTTTGTTTTGCCCCTTCTCTATCTGTCTGTCTATCTATCAAGTATCTATCTATCTCTCTCTCTCTCTATCTATCGGGTTTTCTCCATCTTTCTCTGCCTATCTATAGCTCTATCTATCTGTGTATCTGTCTCTTTATCTATCTATCTATCTATCTATCTATCTATCTATCCATCCATTTATCTATTGATCATTTCTTATGCCTGTCTCGACCGATCTATCTATCTATCTATCTATCTATCTATCTACCTGTCTCTCTATCTACCTGTCTACCTATCTCTCAACCTACGTTTGTCTATCTTTCTCTGCCTATCTCTCGATCTGTTTATTTGTCTATCTATCTCTCTTTCTGTCTATCTCTCCTTTACCTGTCTATCTACCTACTTCTCTATCTACTTACCCATCTATCTATCGCTCTCCTTTTAGCCATCTATCCATCTACTTTTCTATCTGTCCTATCTATCTCTTTGTCTATCTATCTATCTCTCTATCTGTCTACCTGCCTATTGATCCATTTACCTGCCTGTCTATCTCGCTTTCTATCTGTCTATCAATCTATCTATGTGTCTCTCTATCTTTTTCCTCTATCCATCTACCTATCTATCTATCTGTCTCTCTACCTGTGAATTTATTTATTTCTCTATCTCATCTATCCCTTTGTCTGTCTGTCTATCTATCTCTTTTTCTTCTATCTACCTATCCCTATCTCTCTCTCTCTAGCTCTCTATCCATCTACCCATCTGCCTACCTATACCTTCTACCTAGCCGTCTACCTCTCCCTCCTATCTATCTGTCTATCTACACATGCTTCTGCGAAACCTGTGCCAATGGGCGCTCCGACTCCAAACACGCTCCGAAGGCCTGCTCCGGCCAGGCGCCGGCTAGCTTGCAGCTCTCTGGAGACACCAATTCACGCGCAGCGCCTCGCTTTTTGCGCCTTTCCATTTTCCCGCCACACGCGCGCATTTTTTCTCGCGTACTTCTTTCTTCTCTTGTCCTCTATCTCAGAGAGAGCTAGCTTTCAACTAGTTGCCGTGACACAGAAGCTCCTTCTAAATTTCTTTTGACAAGTTGTGTGTGTTTCTGCCATGCCCGGTGGCATCTGCAAGGATTCAAGTATCGGAAAACACAAAGATATGATGGAGTCAGGTTCCGTACATGTGTCATGGTTGAGATAAGAACCCTTTCAATGGTTGCCAAAGTTCCTCTGTCTTTGACAACGCACGCGGACTACACAGCACCACCCCTCAAGTTGCATTATGATGTTCCAAGTCCCCGTTGGCCTTGACAAACAAACTACCACATGGCAGTTCACTGCAAACATTCTCAAGTGCGCCAAAAAATACATGCTGCGTTACAACTATCGCGTTGTCTAAAAGATAAAGATTGGCTTGCCACAACTCAAAAAGACAATGGACTTTAACACGGAGCTGAAACACGCAGCATGCAGCTAACCAATGTCTCCTTGCTCTGTGGTGCAAGTAGTCTCTCTGAAACCCCAGGCTCTGATCTTCAGCCCTCCCAGCCACTCTTTGGCTCAAGTCTCATCAAAGTCTGTCAGGTCCGTGCCAGTGTTACAACGCTTAGCAAAACTCAGAGCAACCGGTCCTTCAGTGACTTGTTTTCGGCCGTGCGACCACCAAAGACAACCATCATCCCGGCGGCCGGGCCATCACGGCACACCTAGGCTCAAACATCTTTGCGTGGCCCAAGTTCCCCAAACGTATGTATAAGATATATATATATATATGGTACAGCGTTGCCACCCGTGGTTTAGGGGGTTGGTTTAGAATTGATTTAGAATTGGCTTAGGGTGTGTTTAGGGTGTCTTTATAATTAGTTTAGGGTTAGTTTAGGGTTGGCTTATGTTGATTTAGGATTGGCTTAGGGTTGATTTAGGTTTAATGGTTTAGGGTTTGGTTTAGGGTGTATCTAGGGTTAGTTTAGGGTTGGTGTATGTTCACTTAGGGTTGGTTTAGGGGTGGTTTAGGTTTAGAGGTTTACGGTTTAAGGTTACGGTTTAGGGTTTGGTTTAGGGTTTGGTTTAGGGTGTGCTTAGGGTTGGTTTAGGGCTGGTTTATGTTGATGTAGGTTGGTTTAGGCTTAAAGGTTTACGGTTTAGGGTTTGGTTTAGGGTTGGCTTATGTTAATTTAGGGGTGGTTTAGGGTTAGTCTCGGGTTGGTTTATGGTTGGTTGCCGGTTGGCTTGTCCTGGGGTGGGGGTGCCGGGGTGTCGGGGCGCGAGTTCAGGCGGTCTGGGGGGGTGGGACCGTAGGTACGCTGGAGACCAACACCCATTGGCGGGGGTACCTATCCCAGAAGTACCCTGTGGTAGTAGAGGTCGTTTATGCGGTCCCTGATGCTGGATTGTCCCTGGTGGATTGTCTTGTTGTATAATCCTGTAAGCGGCCTGCAAAGGTTCCTTTGTCAAGCAATCATGAGTATTGCTATGGTACAGAAGGGCCTTGAGCCAAATGGTTGCAGGCGATCAACATTGGTCAACAACAGACACAAAAACACACACACACAAATTTCTTTTGATCGCCGGCGCTAGATCTGAAATATCTTTGGCTTCTTGGCCTTTGGCCGTAGCCTTGATTTATGCCGTAACCATGTGTATTGAAATACTGGATTCATCCTGTTTTCTGCGCGGATGAAATGTCTTGATTTGCAAAATGGGAAACGGTCTGTACTGATTCTGTGAGATACCTAGATGTATCTAAAAGATGATGTACAACGCTATGTACATGCGGGACGGATGTGAAACTATTGGTCTCTCACTGAATAGTCTTGTTGGCGGTGAGGATCAATTCGGTTGAAATTCGTAGTGCCGATTTCGGGTGTTCGCTCAGTCGAGCTTCAGAAAAACTTCTTTCCTTGCCGGATCACTCAGACCAAAGGAGGTCGAATGGATGCCAGAGGTGGCAGCTTCAGAGGTGGCAGCTTCATCAGATAGTCAACGGTTCCATCGATAGCTGCTGTCGGATTGGCTGCCGTAGTCTCCGTAGTCGCGCCAGGTCGAGTCGCTGTAGTCCTTCCACGGCTTCTGATTGCCCCACTGCTGCTTGTTGTATTCCTTGTACTCTTGCTGAGTCCAGGATTGCTTCTTCTTGAAGTACTCCTTGGATCGCTCAAAGTCTCGCTGCTTGGTGGCAGATCTGCTGCGGATGTAGACCATCAGCGGACTGTGTGAATCGGAATCTTGAGAGCCATTCATGAACATCTCGTTGTTCACGCGCTTGAAACGTTCCGCGAATAAGACCTGATAGTCGAAAATGGCAGTCGTAGGATCGTTCCGCATGGTTTCCAGTTGGTCATCTTTCATTGCGTCCATCTCTTCCTTCCGGAAATCCTGCTGGATGTTTGTCTTGCCCCATCCAAATACGAAAGTCATCATGACATCTGGGAATGTTCGATCAAACCCGGATCCAGTCTTCATGTAGAGGTGATGACGGACGATGGATTTCAGGGTGCAGGAAGTCTCCATTGCATATTCCATTCTGTCCACGAGTGGCAAGTTCTCCGTTTCATTCCACAATCTCTGGTATGCCTTCATGAAGATATTCATGAGACCGTTGGCCGGATTGTAGACCTGTTGGAGCTTGCTGTAGGTGTTCGCGGACTTGTTGGCGTCTCCGGTGATCGCATCGCATTTATACAATGTCACGAGCGGCATGATTTCGGTTTGAAAATCGCCCCGTGCTGCTCCATGGCTGATTGATGGATGGATGTGAAAAACTCCAATGGTAGCCAATGGGAGGTCTGCCCTCGTCACACGGCGGCTGTCGAATTCGAGGAGTGAATCATTGGATGACTTTGGAAACACGCCACGAAATTCATCACTTTGCTCGATGTGGATGACGACAACTTCCTTGTTGCGCCCATGTCCTTGGACAGTTGTGCGTGGCGGCAGTCTCGGTCCAATGTGTTTCTTGGATTGCCTGAACATGGGTGTTCCTGTGGTTGCCAGGCAGTCAGAGGTCGGGATGTCAACATACCGAATGTAGTTCCCCAGTTTTGGCTCTTTGTGGAAATGTGTCGTGCCAATAGTTCCCCTCTTGCGGAAGGTCCGCCGCGGACAAAGCATGCGATTGGTTTGGATGACCATTGCTTGATAACTATGCCCTTGTATCCAAACCGGATGAACGTCTTGATGAGGTCCTTGGATTTCTCATCTTGAAGACCGAGGAATGCGTCTGCTTCATTTAAGCATATGATGCGCGCGCTGTTCTGCATCATCATCCTCGTGATTGGTCGATCCTTCATCGCCATGTTACTCACCTCCTTGTTGTCCAGCTTTGGATTCCTCGTAAGGTTTCCGTGGTTCATGGTGAGCATGTTGATCGTCATGGATGAGGTGAACTCATGTGCCTTGAGATGGTCCACAGGAGAGCGGTCAGTTGATTGCATCAGCGATCCCAGGATGTCAGCAAATGCCTGGATGACCTCCGGTTTGTCATATGTCGTGAGCTTTTTCAATCCCAATGGAAGCTTGATCGGATATCCAATTGCTGGCTGTGCCTTCCTGAACTCTTCCATGGATGGCCATTCTCCTCGGTGGTGGAAATAGAATTCTTCTTCCTCGAGGTTGACATCTGGATCGACATGTGCCAATGAAGCTCGCTCGCATTCTGTTAATTCGGGGTGAGCTCTCTTTGGATCCCTGTCGTACTTCTCCATGAAGCGGATGAAGTTCCTTTTGGTCTCCTTGAGCTCTTCCTCGGCGTCCTTCTTGGTCATGTCCATTTCAAGGTATATCTCCTTGAATTCCTTGATGAACTCTTCTAGGTTCTCGGGATTGTGATACTCCATGGTGACCTTCGGCTTGACGGATCTCTCCCCAGATCGGTGGAGCGCCGTCGCTTCTTGGTCTCTGTGGATGTATCTTTTTCGGCTTTTTCCTTGCTTTGTTGGTCGGTATTCACATATTTGAAGAAGGCATCGGCGAATTCATGGATCTTGGTGTTGTACATCTCAACGTCTTCACGATTGAGAGACTTCTTCATGATCCAGTTGTTGCTCATTATGATGTTCCCATCAGGATCAAATGCTGCAACAATATTCTTCGCCTCGATGGTTTGTTCTGTCAACGCTGTTCGCTCCTCGGAGAGTCGGATGCCGTAGTCCTGGTCCTTGAGGAATGCAAGGATCAACAACGCATCTCTTCCTGTTGGCACATGTGTCAATGCTGCGTCTGACGCGTCGTCGTCGAGGATAACGTCGTCGATGCATGCCATGTGGATGTGCACTCTCCCCGAAGGGTTTGACTGGGATTTCCCAGGTTTGAGCCCGTTCTCCACGATGCTAATCAGCTGATCTCCATATGTTGCATGGAACATGAACGTGATGGGCTTCTTTGCGAACGGCTTGATCTTTCTCTCTTCTTCAATGGATGGTGGCGCCGGCCTTCGCATTCTGGATTGCCTGGGCTGCGCCTTCATCTTCATGGGGCGCGTCGGATCTTGAAGGATGCGGACTTGGAGGAATGGATTCTGTTGGAAGATCGTAGTCCGGTTCTTCTTGACGAGGTTCACTCTTCTGTCGGGGCGTCCAAAGTATTGGAGATCGACTTGTCGAGTATGACCGCTTTTGCATCTCACGTAGAATTCCATCTCTGGATCATTGAGGAATCCTCTGCCATTAGGCCTGAGTGCATCATATGCGGATCTGGATGTGAGGTTGTCGATCCATCGATTCCTTGGAACAATGCATCCCTTGTCCTTGCGTTCCTGGTATGACCCGTCCACGGATGGATACACAAAAGCAATCTCAAAACGTGCCTTTCCATAATCCGGGAACATAGTCATCAGGAAAAGTCCTGGCTTATTGCCCATGAAGTTCCTCGCATGTGTAATGCATCCCAATGCATCGTAGAGCTCAACGGATCCGTCAGGATTCACTTGTCGTCGGCATTCTCTGTGGGTGCCCTGTTTTGGATCATGTCGAAAACATCCGGAAAACAATCTGCTCAATCGCTCGATTCGCCAGAGGATGAGGTCGGTGATCTGTTTTGCTTTGGATGGATCCATGTGGAAATATTTGCAAACCTGCTCAACATTCTGGACGGTCTTGTCAAGATCAATCATGCTGTTGTGGCATACCATCGGGATGATGTCGCCGAAATCTTCCGGCTGCGCATTGGTATAGCAGCAGGTACTGTAGACCTTCTTGATGAAGTCCATGACTTGGAGTGTTGGCTGCCAGGAATCATTGAATCTGGCTCTCAACCAGAATACCCTGGCTCCATGTTCTCGTTCATGCTCAGGAATGAAGTGGAAGTCCGGATACGAGTCGAGGATGGTAGAGCACTCCCTGTAGTATTCGAGCACGAAGGTGAGGAATCGAGAATTCCCGAAAGGTTTTGGATGTACGGATATCTTCTGGAGGTAGATGCCGGTATATACCACCGATCGTTGGATGTGAGAGTTGTCCGCATCGCTGGTCGCCTTGGAAGTGCAGGTCGTTCACCAGGATTGTTGTCGGATTCTGTCTCCTCATCCAATGTATTCTTTGGTGCTGGCTTAGCCTTTGACACAAGCCTCAATGTCGGTGGTGGTGACTTCGGAACCAGTTTCGGATGTGGCATCGCCTTCGGCCAGGAGGTTGCTCTTCGTCATCCAGATCATCATCGTTGTCGGTATCTAGATCATAATCTACCTGCTCCATGTTGACATTATCTGGTT